GTGGGCCCTCTAGGGATCGATTCATTATTACATCACTGTATGTCTGGCATAAAAACCTGCAGATGTGCTGGACATAAAGCAGTGTAATATCAAATTGACCACTAGAGGGAGTACAACATGTGGAGAACAGACACACACACACACCCCCGAAGCAACAGCAACACCCAAGCGAGGAAAATGAGAATACAGAAAAGCCCAGGGTTATAAACAGCTTTAAGAACTGGGTGTCGTAGCCCAGCTGGCCTTGCAGGCTCCAAGTCCAGGTCACGCAGGCAGAAGCAGGTCAAAGGAATGTTCACAGCGTAGTCCAAACAGTCCAAGGCCAGTTGTTACAATCAGAGAGAGTCCAAAAGCAGAGACAAGCTGGTCCAAGAGTCAGGAGTTGTGATCGCAGGATTCACTGTGAGGTGACGTGTTGCTTCCACAAGTTGGCCACAGTTCACACCAGCTTTATGTAGCTTTTCCCTAATTAGTCTTATCTGCAGCTGGAAAGTTAGCAGGGCTCCTGTAACGACTCATCTCGTACCTGTTGATGGGCCATTAATCTTTTGCTCTGTCTGCGTTCTTGCAATTGCCTTCTGATCTCAGCCCTTCTTCTTTCTATGAGCGCCGGGGAGGGAATCTGGGGGAGTCGTGAATGCCTCTGGAGGTACCTGCTCCCTGACTTCAGCAGGCTCAGTATTATCTGACTGGAATTCCCGAGTGCCCTCTACTCTGAAGTCACCTTTCACCACGCCGGACCCAGGCTCGACTTCTGAGGAGTCCTCCTCACCCAGGCTGGGCTCAGGCAGCAGGCTGAGGCACCTCAGCACCTCAGGCTGAGGCTGGTCCACGACACTGGGCCTCATGTACCTGATGACTGGCCACTGCAGTGGTATGCCACTAGAGCCGAGAACTCCCCCCCCACACGAGTGACTACACAGTACCAAGCCCTTCAGCGATCAGTAACTGCTATACACGACCAATGGTATTCAGGCTGCCACCGCTGTTGTGGAGAGAGCATCCTAATGCACTAACCACAACCTTACAAATAAGTCCACAAACGTTTGTAGCCCCTCTGCCCCCACCAAAATCAATATGCCAGTCATTTGCAACACATCAACAGCCTAGAGCAGGGGTCCCCAGCAATGGTGCCCGTGGCTGTCATGGTGCCCCTAGACACCTTTCCTGATGCCCACCAATTGCTTTTAGAAAATGGGTAGGAACAGGCGGGGCTTTTGCCCAGCAAGGCTCCTGATTGGCTAGTGGAGATTTGATTGGCTTGGCAGATTTTTTTTAAAAAAACGTTGCTTTGGCAGCAGCTGCCACCACAAAACGGTTTAACTGAAGGTAAGCAGTGGCCTCCATTTTGTGGATGGCTCCACCTCCCATGGCAGCCATTTTGTGGCTGTGCCTACCGTCTGTGTTGGGATTCCAGTGGTGCTTGGAAGCTTAACAAGGTTGGGGATCCCTGACAGTGAACAAGGATCTAAGACTTCCAACTAATGCTCCCTCTTAAGCTGCGGAGTCTTGTGAGGAAAAATTCTGCCTTGTGAGCTCCTGGCATTAAAGTTGTGAGCCAGCCATTTGGCTGCTGCATGAATTAGTTTGCTCTGGAGCCCTCCTTCTGGAGCGGAGACAAAAATGTGTGAGCCGGAGGCTAGAAAACTGTGAGCTGGCTCACACTCACTCAGCTTCGAGGGCACATGGCTTCCAACTTGCATCAGCTTTCCTGTCCGGCCCCTGGAGGGAGTTCTTTGCTTGCCACAGGCCAAGTGGCAGGGCCTTCTCACCAGCCTGACTCACCCACTCACCTTGTGCCATATCTGCTAGGGACCCTGGTAAGGGATCCTGTCACGCTTCTTTTGTGAGTACTGTCCTTACGAGTTCACCTGACACAGCGTATTAATCCCCTTCTTTGTCTCTATCTGCGGCTGTCGCAAGGGAGGATCCAGATGTTGGTAAGTTTTATCATTCTTTTGCCAGACTCTGAAATTGACTATGATGGTTTTGAAAGAACAAAAACTGATGTTATCTAACCCCTGAAGCTTTGGCGGGGCCACCACCCGTCCTTCTGTAAACAAAGACGGAAGGAAAACCTGGAATCGAGCACTTCTTGGTCATGTCCCTGGAGATGCGGAGTGAATCAAAGCCCTTTTAAAATAAAAAGAAATAAGCTTGTGGGTTTTCAGAGTGGGGAGACAAAATGTAATTTATTAATGCTGGACAAAGTACAGATTTATAGGCACTTAGTTATAACAACAAATATCACGTATAACATGAAGAAGGGAACTGTCGAAAGCTGCTTTGGGGAGAAAGGCAGAGTATCAATGAAGTACAGAAATAACTAAATAGCCTAATGGTTTCTTTGGCTTTTGCCAAGGCTCACTTCAGTTTCAGTTTAGTGTATTGTAATTAGCCGTTGGCCGTTACAAAATTACAAAACACAAATTGTGAACTAACTAGGTTAGAGTCAGAATATACAAAAATACCAAAGATCGTTAACAAAATATGACTAATTTAATACAGTAGCCTAAATAATGCTCCTTCCCGATGCCACCTTGGAACGTATATTCTTTGCAGCAAGGGCAAATAATGAAACTTCATGAGACATATGCATCAATGTCAGATAACAGAAATGAGATTTTTTCCCCTCAACTGGGTAAGCACTAAGACCAGATAAAATACCTGCTAAAAATTTAGCCCTCAGAGCTCAAGTGGTTAAGACGCTGAACTGCAGGCTGTGGAAGGTCGGTAGTTCAGCAGTTCGAGACCCAAGTGTGCCGCATGACGGAGTGAGCTCCCGTCTCTAGTTCCAGCTCCTGTCAACCTAGCAGTTCGAAAGCAAGACATTGCAAGTAGATAAATAGGTACCACTTCAGTGGGAAGGTAACAGCGTTCCATGTGCCTCGGTGTTTAGTCATGCCGGCCACATGACCACGGAAATGTCTCTGGACAGCGCTGGCTCTTCGGCTTTGAAATGGAGATGAGCACTGCAACCCTAGAGTCGGATTCGACTGGCTTTCGAGCAAGGGAACCTTTACCTTTACTAGAAGACAATGGGTAAAAGAGAATATAGTGAGGTAAATCCTCAAGTTCGTGGGTACCACAAATACATAGGCCGAAGGAGTTTGATTGAATCGGCCCTCCAAAATTGCTGTTGGCATTGATACCAAGACTCACTTAATTACTAGAAGCTTCATGTTTTATAATTCCAGGTTTGTTCCGTATCTAGAAGCAAAAGGATCTTTGCCTTAACAGAGATCGTCCTTAAAAGATCCGATAGCTACACTAGCAGAATTCCTTTGCTGTGGATCTTTTTTTGAACCTAACGGACCAAAAATCATGCTATTATTGTTCTGAGCCCCAAACTTCTGTTCCCATCCTTCCATCTGACTGTTCCTGTTTCTCTAAAGACAGCCTACACAAACAATATGATTTCCTGGGCATCTTCATCGGGTGAATGGGGGGGGGGAATTTCCTTGAAAGCTACAGCTCCATCTGTTGATGTCAGGTGAACAGGGTCCCCCAGCTTAATTTCCTACTCAAGATTAGAACTTTAAAAGGCAGTGGCTTCAGAGAACAGCTGAAGCATCAAGATACATGGAAGGTGTGATTGTCTGTTGCAAGTTCATTTATATTTGACAAACACCTCTCCAAAGAACGCAAGCAAGTGATATCCCAGACTAAAGGAAGTTTGGTAATTAATTTAAATCCATGTTCCCCAGGGGAATGTCACTGAACAGCACAAGACATAAAACAGCTGCCGTTTGGTTCAGTGCAACCAGAAAAACTCCCATCTGCCATTATAGTTCAGATTCCTTTATAAACTGATAATTTTGTTCATTGTGGTGCTACCACGTAGTGTGCCATTCAGATCTCTATGAGACTGTGTTTTGAGATCTCAGTGGCCATTTCAGGGGTTGCTAGGCAACTGGTATCCAACATTGCTGATGATTCTAGACCTCTGTTAGTGTCAGTGCACAGGTAAGGGAGAGGGAAACAGACTAAGCAAATTATAAGCATAATAAAGACTGTTGATTAAAATGCTCTGTAAATTAGAACAAATAATACAATTAACAGAACAATTTCAAATGTTGGGAGTGGGAACATTGAAGACCCATCTCCTTCTATGTCTGTTAGGGTTGCCATCCCTCTGAGGGGGGCGGGGTTCCCCCCAATTTCAGGGGCCCCAATTCACCGCTGGCCAGTTGGCTGGCAGATGAGCTCCACCCCCGAAGGCCTTTGCTGCACCCAACATGCCTGGTGCAATGACGTCACGTGACATCATTGCATGGGGGAATGCTCTAGCATTTGGCTAAAAACTCTATGGTGATCATAGAGTTTTTGTCTGAATGCTAGAGTGTCCCCTACACAATGTGCCCAGCACAATGTGCCCAGCACAATGATGTCACTTCCGGGTGATGTCATTGCGGTGTGCATGCAGTGTGCACACACCAGAACACCTGAGGCAGCAACCAGGAGCCCCCCACCAGCAAACGGTAGGCACCTGGTGACCTTAATGTCTGTGTGCACCAACCACAGTCATCAGGCAGCCATCTGTTGGCTCTCCCACCACTCAGGGAGGCCCATCTGGCATCGACCAGAGCCTGGGCCTTTTCCATCGGGGCTCCAGCTCTATGGAAGGGGCTCCCTGAAGGGGTGAGCCCCCCCCCTCGGAGATCTTCAGGAAGTTCTGCAAGGTCTGCTGTTGCCAGGGCTTTGGAGGGGTTTTGAACGACAGGCATCTTTTAAAGGGGGGGGGAATTTGGGATTTACTATTTTATTTTTGGTTTTAGCGAAAAATGTTTTAAATTATTATCGTAAGCCACCTTGAACCATGAAGAAGGGTGAGATATAAATGTTTTAATAAGTAATAAATAAAAATTGATGTGCGAACTTAAGTCATAGCTTAAGATATGTGGAAGCAGGCATAAGATATGTTTAATTCTACATTGCCTCTAAGCCGACAGTGAAACGGATCACTGAATGCCACTTCCTCTTCTACTTTTCCCTTGCAGAGTGCAGACATACAGTTGTGGAGAAAGACTGGCAGCTTGGTTTTCGGAGTTTCTTGGCCGACAGTGCTACCTGATCAGGCAGTGTTCGGACTTCCAAAGAAATGCAAAACAGACACACGAAAAGGGTATATAAATTTTGCATGGCAATTAGGAAACGGATGGCTCGGCACTGCAAATGTGAAATGTCAGCATGACTTATATCAGGGGTGTCAAACGTAAGGCCCGGGGGCTGGAACCGGCCCGTTCAGGGCTCTTATGCAGCCCGCGGGCAACTGGTGCACGGGAGGGAGTGCTGGGGGGGGGGAGTGGGCGGAGCCACTCCATTTTGGCTTCAGCACAGCAGAACAACCTCATCTGCAGCAGTCAAGCATCGTGGGAGCACCTGCCCAGGGCTGCACTGCCACCTCTCCAGTCCGCACGTGTGGGTTTTCCTCTGCAACCCCCTCCCAGCCCAGGGGGCCTTACAGTGAGGACACACCACCTTGGAGCTTACCAGCTGCTGCCCTTTATACAGTTTCTATCTCCGGTACCTGGCATTACGTTTTATGGCACCCGTGGCCCGCCCGACAAGGTGACATTTATGTCAGATCCGGCCCTCGTAACAAATGAATTTGACACCTCTGCCTTATATGCTGTGATATAGATTAAAGTCAAAATTGCCCCAGCGATACGGAATGCATGGGAATAAAAATATAGACACAATAGGCAGTCTTCCGCAGTCTTTCGATAGTTACTGTGAATTTTTGTACTAAGTCCTTCTCGTCGGTATTCCACAACATGTAATTCTAAATTAGATCCTTACAGGATCACTTGAATTATCTTCATATTGAATATACTATTAACCAAAACAAGTAAAACACTATCTGAAAGCATCTTAATACTTCAGTGGTGGAAAGTGCTATCAAGTTGCAGCCAACTTATGGCCACACTGCAGGGTTTTCAAGGCAAGAGTCGTTGAGAGGTGGTTTGCCATTGCCTGCCTCTATGTAGCAACCCTGGGCTTCCTTGGTGGTCCTTGGTGGTTCCTTGGTGGTCTCCCACCCAAATTCTGACCAGGGCTGAGACTGCTCACCTTCCAAGATCCAAGATCTGATGGAAGAAAGCCAAGACCTTCCAAGATCTGATGAGATCCAGCTAGCCTGGGCCATCCAGGTCGGGGCAAAAGACATACAGAGTTGGTTTACTATCGCCTGCCTCTGTGTAGCAACCCTTGGTGGTCTCCCACTCAAATTCTGACCAGGGCTAAGCCTGCTCACCTTCCAGGATTTGAAAAGATCAGACTAGCCTGGGCCATCCAGATCAGAGCAAAAAGCATATGGAGGTGGTTTGTCATTGGCTGTCTCTGTGTAGCAACCCTGGACTTCCCTGGTGGTCTCCTGTCCAAGTACTAACCAGGGCTGACCCTGCTTAGCTTCTGGGATCTGACGAGATCAGACTATCCTGGCCCATTTAGGTCAGGGCCTTAATACTTAACACTCAGACCCAGCTGAGCTCTGAGCAGGAGCAGGAGATGGAGCTGCTAGAGGGGTGAGTGTTTTATTACTTGCTTTCAGCTGAGGGGATTCAGCTGAGGATATTGTGTGGGAGGACTGTGTTTGGGAGTGTGTGAAAGCGATTAGAGTTATTGCAGAGTCCTGGCTGCTTGAGAGACGGAGAGGAAGGGGCATTGTTTGACTGTGATTGACTGTAATTCAGTATTTAAGAAAGCACCTTGCCAGAGGCACGAGCCTCTGACACTTAGCCTAGGGACTCTTAGACTAGGGGCTCTGTAAGAAGCCCAGGAAGAGCCAGAAAGCCAAGGCCCTAGGCTCTTTGTCTTCCCCGTAAGGTAAGTTGACTTCGACAAGAAAAACCACATAAATTCAAAGGGTTTAAAATGGGGGATTATATTTACTTATTTTAAAAGAATTATGAAGCCAGAATGCCAGCAGGTGGTTGGGGGCTATCTAGTGTTTTGCACAGAGTGTCACATGTATGACTGTCTGCCCACTGGACAGAAGTCTTGGGTGTGTGCTTGGTGCAAGGAGCTCCAGGTTCTGAGGCCAAGGTGGCTGACCTGGAGAAGCAGAGACAGTCAATTAGGTGCACAGATAAGACTCTTGGGGACTTGTTAGATATGTCCCACTCTGGATCTGGCAGCCCCGCCGCTGTCAGGGAGCATGAGGGTCAAGGAGAAACGGCACCGTGCCGAGGATAAGGGGAATGTGCCCTCAGAAGGGACCTCTTCACCAGCTGGTGAGCGGGTATCCTTTCGCACCAAGGAACCATCCCTGGGCAGGGGGGGAGGGGGGGCTTTTGGTAGTTGGTGATTCGATCCTTAGGCAGGTAGACAACTGGGTGGCGAACCTGCGTACTGACCGTATGGTGACTTGCCTGCCTGGTGCGAAGGTAGCGGACATTACGCGTGTTTTAGATAGGCTGGTAGATAGTGCTGGAGAGGAGCCAGTGGTCGTGGTGCATGTCGGCACCAACAATGTGGGGAAATGCA